AGATAGATAGATAGATAGATAGATAGATAGATAGATAGATAGATAGAATACTTTATTGGCCAAGTGTGATTGGACACACAAGTCTTGGTGTAAATACTCTCAGTATACATAAAGAAAAGATACATTCGTTAAGAATCAAGAACCATAACGTACAACACTCATAGGGTACAATCAACAATCAAATCATACTAGGAAACAGTCAATATAAATCGTAAGGATACAAGCAACAAAGTTACAGTCCTACAATCACAAGTGGGAGGGGATGGGTGATAAGGAGTGATGAGAAGATTAACAGTAATAGTAGTGCACACTTTGTAAATAGTTGAACAGTGTTGAGGGAATTATTTGTTTAGCAGAGTGATGGCTTTCGGGGAAAAACTGCTCTTTTGTCTAGTTGTTCTGGTGTGCAGTGCTCTATAGCGTCGTTTTGAGGGAAGGAGTTGAAACAGTTTATGTCCAGGATGTGAGGGATCTGTAAATATTTTCACAGCCCTCTTTTTGACTCGTGCAGCATACAGGTCCTCGATTGAAGGCAGGTGGGTAGTAATTGTTTTTTCTGCAGATTTACTTAAGCCAGATTTACTTAACAACTGAGTTACTAATTTAACAATCATGTTGATTCATTAATAGCTGTGACAAAAAAAATGTAAAGTGAAGCAAAATTCACTTAAAACTATCTTGCTTGGCAATAGAAATTTTGGACTCGAATGTTGTAAGTCAAAGACTATCTGTATTACTTGTGTTATGCATATATGTGTGATCAAGAATAATGGCTTTTATTCATAAGAAAGATGAATGCTGTCTTCCTTGTAGGTATGTACTGTATATATTTTCTGTCTTTCATACAAGGCATGGGAACAGGTACTGATTAGAATTAGATGTGGTGCCATATCATTTCTGGAAAATGTACAAGGAATCTCATCTGGAATGTTTTGAATTGACTGTGTTTTATCAGAAAAAAAATATTGAAAGTTGTTCTTTGGAAAGTTTAGATGTTCTTTGGAAAAGTTTTGAGTGTGCCAATCACAGAAAGCAATGGGAACTAAAAACAAAGCTGTTTGATTGTCCATCTGTTCCCTCTTATTTTTGACCCTTAGAACATTAGAGTAGATATTGAAGTAGTTCATTCCATCTGCTGTATATCTGTTTATAAGAAATTAACAAAAAATATTTTTAGGAATCTGCTATGTTTTGGTTTCACATGGGAGGTAAACAATCCATATTTGCATCTCTTTAAATCAGTAAATCTTTTGCAAGATAATGCATCAGTTGCTTTTCATCACAAGTTCTTCAGGGCAAACTCTTCAAAACTTTCTGAGTTTCAGTCTAACAGATAATATAAGTTGCTTAGAGTATTGTTCTATTAGAACATAACCAACCTCAAAACATTACAATTCAGATTAATTTGTTCCAAACTCAAAACAAATTTGCACAAGATTATAATCTGATTGTACTTCTAGACCAATTTCACTAACAATTTAGGATGGAGCAGGGTTTTTATATATAGTTTGTAGTTGAGAAAGGACACAGCTGTTTTAAAGAGTTGCAAAAAGATGTTATGTGAATGAGAATTGTTGTTCATTCTTGTGATGGTTGCCATTACACAAAATTTGTATCACAGTACTCTCTGGGTTTTGCTCTACACCAGGAATGTCAAATTCAAGGGCTGGCGTTCTTAGATCTGGCCCACATAGCCACCCTTGAAATAGTGAAGGACTGGACCACAATGCCTCTGCAAGTGAAAATGGAGCTTGGGAGGACCATGCGCAGCCCTCCCGAGCTCCGTTTTCACTGACAAGAGGGTTGCAGGAGGCTGTTGCAGCTGAAAACGGAGCTTGGGAACCCATTTTCGCTGGCAGAGTGCTCGGGCCACCACAGGCATCCCCCAACACAAATGACATCATGCTGGCCATGCCTACACCCCCTGGCCATGCCCCCCCCAAGGTGAAACACAACCCTGATGCGGCCTCAGTGAAATCGAGTTTGACACCTCTGCTCTATATGACAATGTCTTCTCAAAGCTGGCATTAAGGAAGACCTGCAGTGCTATGTCTAGATATGGAATGACTTTCTTAGTCAACTGGGTTTGCAACTCAAGACTGAGTGTCTAGAAACTACTCTGAACACCACCACCATTCAAGTCAGCAGTGATGAAAACAAACTTCTGTTACTTAGGATCCCATCTGCAAAATATAGTTGCATTAATGAAGCAATGAGCACAAGGGTGAATGCAGCATAATAGTTTGTAGAAATCATTGGATTGCTCTGCGATAGGCGTATGCCAATTCACCAAAAGTATAAAATGGTCTGTTTAATAGATCTATATGTTGCTGAGTGGTGACCAATCCCCCAAAATGCTAAGCACCCTTTACATCCCATGGGATGTGCATGCTCATTGGCCCTTAGGTATTTTCTTTCTTGACCATGTCAGCAACGATACAGTTTGGTAGCAGATGGACATTCAAACAATAGAAGAAAATGGGGAAAATGTCCATAGTGGTATCGCCACACTGTATTCACCAGGGGTACACCACACTGTTGCCTGCACTGACTACCTCCTTAACATCCATGACAAATGCCAGTACAGAAGATCAAAGATGGTAGGACACAACATGGGAATGAAAAGCACCCCGTTGAACTAGCCAGTTACTGCATTTGATCATGTGGAATGGTATTTGTCAGTACAGAAATTGGACTCTGCACCTGTGAGAAATATTAAGAAGAAGAGAGATGTTATCTGTACACAAAGCTTTCTTTGGAAGCATATTGGAACCAAATCCAAACCATTGCACAGCCGTATTAACTTTTAAAAGCTTTTACAAATATCCATTATAGAAGTATGAAAGTCATTGTTTTATTCTTTTGTTCTAGGGACATATAATTGAAAGAAATATGAGAAGAGATTAACATGAACGTTTTTTTTTAAAGAATGCTAGTCTGAATTCCTACTGCTTTAAAGTTTTACAGTCTGACAAAAGACTGAGTTCACTAACATAATTTTTCCCCAAAAAATATTTTATACTTCTTAGCCTTTTATTTAAGTATTTCAGCCATCTGAAAGGGGTCTAATCCACTCTTAGTCTATAGGTTCAGCTGTCAATTTTAGTTTTCCTCCCATCCTTTCTTTTTTACAGCCTAGTCAAAGAAGGCTTAATAAAATAGGGAGAGGAATATAATTCAAAAGGATATGAAATGAGAATATTAACATTAATTCTTACTCAAGACCTTTTTGTACAAACAATGTAGAATGAGGCCAGATAAAAATGTAATCCAAGATCTATCGAAGAATCTGAATATTGATGTTAACCCCTCTTCCCCATAATCTAAGCAAAATAGGAATTTCTAGTTCATTACTCCATTAGTTGTTAAAAATTCCAAATCAAACAGCAAGGACACCAGGAGACATATGTATGAATACTTGATAGCTAGTTCATGAAAAAAAAATAAACAGATTATTCTGGTAAATTAAATTTACAAGGAATTTGTTATTTAATATTGAAATGCTTAAGAGGAATGTCTAAATGTGTTTTGACTAAGTAATGATGCATCTTATTTAAAACAGTTGAATTATTCATTCTATAATGGAAACTTTCATTGTAGGGAATGTATACAATATACGTAATCTCTTGAATAAAGAATGTGTTCTCCTCTTCACACAGTTGAAAGGAAAAGGTATGAAAAAATGTTTTCTTAGATTTAGTTTTAGTTGAAGTAAATATATTGAAATTTTCTACAAAACAAAAGACCTTTAGCTCTAGGATGATGGGATTAAGATATAACCCTCCAGGATATAATAGGATTAACCCACTAGCAGCAAAGCTCATTACATTGCACAATCTCCTAAGAACATTGCATCACCCTCAGAAATTCAACCAAACTTCTCAGACAACCTACAGAAATCCACACACAGACTCGATGGGCCTATGCCAGCAAAGGGACCTCGATGGGCCTATGCCAGCTTACTTGTGTACAGTTAAAAAAAACCTCTGTACCTGTATTTAAGACAATGGTTTAATAAGATTGTACTACAAAATTGTCCATGAATTTTTGATTTTCAGTCTTTTAAATCACAGTCTGTAATATAATATTTATAAAATAGACTACATGCTTATTTCAACCCCCTATAGTTTTGTCTTTGAGCAGTTTTAATATTCTGTTTTAACTTATGAGACATAAAAAGTCTTCAGATTATCAGAAATATTTATTGTGCAAAATGTTGTGAGGATAACAACAAAAAAGGACAGTAAGGGTGAATCAGCAGCTTTATAGTAAAGTTAACATATTTAGTTTGTATATTGCTAGAAATATTTCAAAGATTTACCATGTCAGGTCACATAACTTAAAACTACTTTAATCACAAGATTAAAATAACAAAACAAGGGGTTTTTATGTGCAATGCTAATACAAGTTATAAAACTTACTTTGCTTGCAGAGATCTTGAAAGATTTTTTTTTAATTGTTGGCATAGAGATAGAATGGGGATAAAAATTTGACCCTCCCTCAAATCAAGTTTGCATCCATGTGGGTATATTTTTGGCAACAATACAAGATGGTAATTTTCCATTATCATCTTCTGGCATGGTACTGGAGGAGTTTGTTTTTTTTGGGGGAGGGGATTTTCTTGGCTAGTTTTTTGCCCAGGGATTTCCTATAGGTCAGCCCATCTTAGCTTTTTTGAAGATCTGCCAAGATTGTCTTGATACCTGCTGTCATGGATGTTGTGAAGTTAATATATGTCAGAGATTATCAGGTGATGATTCTGAGCTATCAAATTCCTTCATATATTCTTCTGTGCTTTTTTACAGAACATCTTGCTTGACAACTAGGAAATATGCTTATGGAGCAATTAATTTCTGAGTAAGAAACTTGGAACTTTTTGAGTTTGCGAAGACTAGTCTTCACTATGTCTCAGATAACTTAGAAACAACTGAATAATATATACAAAAAAAGAGGGAACTGACTAACAGAAGTGACAAATTTAAAAAAAGAAGCATTGTCTTAATCACCTGATTGATGTAAACTTACTGCATGGGAGAAGAGAAACTGCAGTAAATGAGTTGCAGTAGTAGCTTTCATGCAAACTTGGGAAAATATTAAGTGCCTAGCTAAGTATAAAATATTAATCTCTTTTGCACTTCTGAAAAACTCAAGAGGTTATCAAATGTTAAACAGAAGGGAAATTCCATTCTATCTAATTAATTTGAAAGATGTTCTTAAGTTTTTCTTTTTATACATTTACTGGACTTCTGCTTGCAATATATGGATATTTTTGCATAATAGACAACAAACAAGGGAAGGCTATATTGAAGCTTTTGTCTTCACTCTGTTTTCTTCTGCTTGAAATATAATTTGCCTAGTAAAACCTTGCTGGAAATGGCTTATATCTTGTAATTAAACCATGGAAATAAAAAATAGATTTCAGGATAGGCAATATATTACTTGAAGCAGCTCTTCCTCTGATTTAATTAATTAATGAGTGAGAAAATATCTTGTTGTTTAGTGCCTATCTATAAACTATGTGCATTCAAGTCCGAAATATTTTAGATGAGACTGACATACTTAGATGACAGCATTTGAGTGCATATTTATTCCCAATGGTTACAGATAATTTGATTTAAATTATCATTCGAGAAATAGCTATAGGTCCTGCTTTTACTGTTTAATGTTTATGTGGGAGAACTAACTCCCACATGTGGGAGATGTGGAAAATGTGAAAGATTTGGATGTTAATATAAACAACCATATTATCTTATTTCCAGAAAAGTAATCTCTAATGTAAGCTTGAATCCACAATTCTTGAATCAGTTTGAAGATAACCATCTGCTTAAAAACTGAAGAATTATTGAAATCCCTTTTTTGCTCAGATGGCCTCTAGTTCTACTGTTTGCAGTTAGGGTATAAATATTTTTCGTGGGTATTTTCTACATTCTGATGGTTTATACATTCTATTATGATGGTATTTTTTAACAAAATAGTTTAAAACTTAATATAAACTTAAAGAACTCATATTGATAAAAATATTTTTGTGAGTTTCTCTTAGGAAATTTTATTTCCAGAAATATGGAATGAATATTGTCAGAATTGTTTCACCTTAATTTTCTTTGGTTCAAGGGAGTTTCAGAATTTTATACTTTAGAAGTGTCAAGTTTTAAATACAATTTATTACAGGAGTTGCCTGATATTACATTCCAGGCACGTGTAATAACTATGTTCCAGAGGCCATGAGTTCCAGTGGTTATCCAGTGGCTATCCATAAGTAGAAGCAGAAGGGAAGAGATACTATATATGCAGAGACTCTAGTGTTGGATCTTAAATATTGCTTTCAATTGCTCAGTAGATTGCCAGTTGAAATGTTTATTGATTTTTCTTCTCCCATTTCTCTTATTTTTTGTATATTTATTGTTTATTTAATAAAACGTTAATCACACTTGTGTAGTCTGATTCTTCAAAGACTGCAGTTTTGCTATATGATAAAATTTAGGGAAAAAGCATGCTTCCATAGTATTTTGCAGAATAGATCCTGGAGAAGTAAAAATCATTTTTAAATAGAGTACTGCAAAGAATACATAAATTATTGTGTAGTGTAATTATTTTCCTGTTAGATTTATTAGCCTCCTAAGTAGACCAGACAGAAAACAAAGCTATCTGTATGTTAGATAGGTAGAAATTTGCAAATCTGAAAGTACAAATGTTCTGCTATCTTTTTATCATCTGATTAGTTAAGATAGATCCTTTCTAAGTTTCTTTAATTGATCTTAATTCAACTACAGGCTCCTCTCTCTTCATCTAATCATTCCCTAGTCAGCACTCCTTCACACATTCTCTTCCAAGATCATTCCCAAATTCTATTACATATCTGGCTTGGTAGACTTTGTTTCCTTAATTTAATACATTCTGATTAAATAATTCTAACGGAGATATAGAATTGAGCAACTGATCTGAGGTTTAATAAAGTTTAGTCTGATATAATTCATAACTATATGCTTAGCCCTCTCCAGAAGTACTTACGACCCAATTCCAAATCCCAATGATCATGTGACCATATGTCAGAGACTCAGAAAAACTGCCCTATAGTGAACAATGGGTTCGCTTAATAAAAGTCACTTAATGAAAAAGATCATAAAATCAGGTTGGTTATGGGATTGATTCTTTTTATGACCATAACAACTTAGTTTACCGGTTCCATTAAAATGATAACTTGAGGACCTGTACTATTAGCATAAATTGATCTGGAACAACAGTTGAAAAACCAGCTTGTCCTTTATGGTGTAAATATGTGATGGTATATAGCAGACCTGGGCATTTCATGACCTATGGGCCACATCCAGCCAGAGCAGCAGTGCAGCATCACTTCTGTGCGGATGACATTGGGGCAGGGCATCATCGGGGGGCAGTGGTAGAAGACTTCCACATAATCCCAGCTTCTCGGGTGGCCCCTTGGGAAAATTAATTGCCCATCCCTGGTATAGGAATAATTTTGAGAGGCTGGTCCAGAGATGCTACCTAAGGAATGGTCAAATAAGAGACAGCATAGTACTCAGTTGTTTAGAGAGCAATGCAAGAGGCTCAGAAGATCCTAATTTCTCAAGTGTAAAGGAGATGGTGGGGAGAAGTGTACTTTCAGACTTTTATCATTCTGTTAATGTAGTCGTACAATAAAGTAGAATTAGCTGATCTAGCCCACTTGGTAAGGTTGAAATGTGGGGAATGTAGTTATATATTTTGTTTGTTAGCAGAATGGGATGAACTTTAGTGACACCTAAGAGTTTTAAACAGAAATATTGGATGCAAAAGTTCATAGTGACTGATTTTGGAAGTGTGGCAGAAGTGTTTTAATTATAAAATTATAACCTCAATGTAACTAATACAACATTAATCAGCATCATGGTAATTTGTAATGGCATTTCATTTCTTGATTTCAGATGCTGGGATTGGAGTGGAGCAGGGTGGGATTCAAAATGTTTAACAACCGGTTCTGTGGGTGTGGCTTACGTGGTGAGCATGGCTTGGTGTCATGTTATTGGCTGGGTGTGGCCAACTCAATATCACTCATATCGAGGCACGCATCTTTCGCCTGACCTCTTATGACTGGGGATGATGCAACAGTCGTAAGTGTGAAAAATGGTCATGTCACTTTTTTCAGTGCCATTGTAACTTTGAATGGTCACTCCATACAAGCAAAGTACCAGCAAAGGAGGGGGAAAAAAACTCCAGAGAAGTTCCTGAGACAGGAAGTCTAGTCCTGCCAAGAATGTAATAAGGGTTAATGGAGAGGCTGTTTCTGTAAGCAACACCAGAATGTTTCCTTCCTGTCTTCCTTACAGGATTAGGCCAGTAATTTCTTCTAACAACTGGTTCTCCAAACTGCTTAGAATGTTAACAACCGGTTCTAGTGAATAAGTGCGAACTGGTAGAATCTCACCCCTGGAGTGGAGCATTCAAATAAAGAAATCTATTCTCTTGCATACTGAATGATACTATTTTGTAACTATGAATGAATCAGTATGATTTCCAAAATGAATTATCATTTATTATTTTTTATTATTATTAATAAAAGAATTATCTTGCACATGCAAGTATTTCCATTGAATAAAATTTCTGTAGGATAGATTAACAATTTTGCATGCTGTTAATTCAGATGATTTCAATTACATGAAAATAATCTCAAAGAATTAAATCAAATTTTAACAATACATGTAATTCAATTTACAACTACAATAAAGCCTAGAACTTATGCCATTAGATGAGAAATTTGTTAAGTGAGTTTTGCCACATTTGTTAAGTATATCACTGCAGTTGTTAAATTAGTAACATGGTTATTTATTTATTTTATTTATTTATTCGATTTGCCAATTGTTTACAAGATAATAAGTATAAGTGTATACATAGTTGTGAATACATGAAATGGGTACATATAAGAAAAATAAAAGAAGAATAAGAGAAACAATAGGACAGGGACGGTAGGCACGTTGGTGCGCTTATGCACACCCCCTACAGACCTCTTAGGAAAGGGGTGAGGTCAATAGTAGACAGTCTAAGGTTAAAGTTTTTGGGGTTTGGGGAAGAAACTACAGAGTCGGGTAGAGTATTCCAGACATTGACCACTCTATTGCTGAAGTCGTATTTCCTGCAATCAAGTTTGGTG